ATTTAAAGGTGGGAGACATATTTGAATTTCTACTATGCAACCAAAGAAAAAGTTGCTTTCAAAAACTGCAACCAAAGCAAAAGTGAAACATCCGAGAAGTTTTTTTTTGTGCATTATTTTTAATTTTTGTGCATAATAAAAATTTTATACTTTTGTGCACTTAAAAATTAGAAATAAACTGGAAATTAAAAAAAACCGTAAAATTAATATTTTTATATATAAAGTTCATACTTTGATTATTTTTAGAAAAAGTTAATTACATTCAAAGTTAACTAATACAAAGTTACAGTTAATATACAAAGTTAACTAATTATTATAATAATATTATTTAAAACTGTGGTTCCCAAATGATATTCGCTGAACCCAAGACTTCCCTGGAAGTGTTGCAGTGGTTCGGAGGGCTAATTTTTTTTTTGAAACCAGTTATGATTTCTTTAAATATTTTATTTAGATTCTATTAGTAATCTGTTAGAATCTCTCAATAATGTTTTATATCTTATCTACCCATGAACAGAATCTTATATGCAATCATTTTATGTTTATTCGATATTTTATATATAATCACTGTGAAGGGAAATAAAGACTTTTTTCTCAGTATTAGGAAAAGATTCCCTAAAGATTAGAAAATGGAAGGGAGTTGCTGGATATTTTTATATTAGTATTTTAATGAATATTTTTTTAATGAAAAACTTAACTTTTTTTTTAAGTTGGTAATTTTGCGAAATTTGCAAATACCATAAAACCTCTACGCTAGTTTTTAGATAATGTCTTTATGTTTCAGAAAATCTAAGCAAAATAGTTTTCCTATGCTTCAGGAGTTCTAAATCCATGAGGCCAGTGAGGTGCTACTTTTTGATGACCAGCCACACACGGAGCTGCCACCAACTTATTTTTTATTATTTTGTAAAAGAAAATTTTTTGAAATAGACTTAAATTGTAGCTAAATAACATTAAAAAAATACAAGGAATCTCTGCATTGTCTCTATTACTTAAAAAAAATTTCAAGGAAAACGTTACTATTTGATCATCTCAGGGTGGGGTCCCCCCTTACAATAACTAAGTAATTAGCGCTCTAAGAAGCGTAATAAAATGTTTTCTGGGTGGGAGCTTTGAGGGGTTCTGGATGCATTAAGATTTTTTAAAAAAAATGACTGCAATTTACCATTGAAAATAAACAAGGGAATATTTACGTATCATGATCAGTCGAGCCACCTGATTTACAGCTCCCTGAAACATTTTTTTCATATTTTAAGTTCAACATACCGCTTTTTCGATAGAAAAAAAAGAATTTAAGTTTTATTTTTCTAATCTGTTCTGTTACTTTCATTCACACTTACATTAAAGCGCTCGAATCCTGGTGAATTTTTCCCTCCTTTATTATTTTTGAAACTATTGAAGATTTTATATTATCAGGTATATGTTCTTTTTTTTTTTAAATATGATGTACGCTCTCAGCAGTTAAAACGTCCTTAAGGAAGATTTTCAAATGTGTAATAAAAAATTTCTAGAAGTTTCTTTTTTTTAAAAAAAAGTATTTCAAACTACAACACGATTAAATTCTAATCAATTGCATCAAACTAAAGTGAGCCGTGTTTAAAATAGTGCTATCAAAAATTTTCCAAATAGAGCTCCGTAGAACGGTTACAGGAGTCATGAAAGATAGGATATTGCTTTAAACTGTTATAACTATAATTATAACAAAAAATTCCTAGTTTTTTTTTAATATCACTAATTTTTTTTATTTAAAATGTAGTAAAATTAAAAAGAAAAAATTTGACTCCCCTCTCTGAATTTCCAAACCACTACCAGCATGTTACTCTCTCCAAACTTCCACACCACAACCGGCACATCTCTATCTCCAAACTTCCGCACCACAACCAGCACATCCCTATCTCCAAACTTTCACACCACAAACAACCGGCACATCCCTATCTCCAAACTTCCACACCCCAAACAACCGGTACATCCCTATCTCCAAACTTCCACGCCACAAGCAACCGGCACATCCCTATCTCCAAACTTCCACACCTCAAACAACCGGCACATCCCTATCTCCAAACTTCTACACCACAAACAACCGGCACATCCCTATCTCCAAACTTCCACACCACAAAAACCGGCACATCCCTATCTCCAAACTTCCACACCACAAACAACCGGCACATCCCTATCTCCAAACTTCCACACCTCAAACAACCGGCATATCCCTATCTCCAAACTTCCACACCACAAACAACCGGCACATCCCTATCTCCAAACTTCCACACCCCAAACAACCGGCACATCCATATCTCCAAACTTCCACACCCCAAACAACCGGCACATCCCTATCTCCAAACTTCCAACACCACAAACAACCGGCACATCCCTATCTCCAAACTTCCACACCCCAAACAACCGGCACATCCCTATCTCCAAACTTCCACACCCCAAACAACCGGCACATCCCCATCTCCACAGCCAGCGATTCTTGACTTCAGTGATCTGCTGGGAACCGTGTCTTAACGATCAGTCCACTGCGGAACCAATTCATATTGTTATAATTTTCAAGATCAAGGGAAAATATATACGTTTGCACAAATACTTTCGCCAAAAACACAATATGTTTCGCCAAATTTTACGAACGATTTTATCGCATTTCGCGAGGTGGCGAATGCATAGAGCGAGCCCTGATACAGTATATGAGAAATAATATCCTAATTTTAACGCTTTTATTTTATTCGCAGCTACAAAAGGTTATTATAAGGGACACATAGGGTAATTCAAAATGATTATAATGAACTACAAACGGCTATAGCCATTTAAAGAAAAAGAATTTAGCAGTAAAATTTTCACAGAACTTATAAACGCGTCACAGAATTTCTATGTGACTTCCCTTTTTCACATGGACAACATCTAGGCTGTAGTCCATTTCAAGCCATACATTCATATGCTCATGAAAATATTACACAGAATGATAAATGACAGTATGATAATTATCATAGTCTGGATATCATAATCGGGATAGCCTGGTTGATAGGGCACTGGGCCCATGTCCAAGAGGTCGTGGGTTCGATCCCAACCGGCAGAAGACTCCCCGTGTAGTAAATGACGATTGATGCACGTTACATCTGTCAAGTCTCAAAGTCCTCCATGTTCCCATAACAAATCAATACCTCTGGGGGTACTGATCCAGGAGTTACCTTGTCTTCTGGATTGGTTCAAAACTATAAGGCTACGGAGTTGAACATTAGTAGTCGTAAACCCAAAAATTGGGGCGGCTGTTCAACGACGGATAAAATAAGATAAAACCTGAATATATGGAAAAGCGATGACTCAAGGGATAGAGCGTTTGCCTTCCAATAGAGTTAACCGGGTTCGAATCTCAGCAATAAATGGATGATACGAATTCCGCATCCGACTTGCACTGACCACAGTGCTGACGTAAAATATCCTCAGTGGTAGACGTATCATAGGTTAGAGTCCTCTTGCCGTCAGGCTAACCGTGGAAAGTTTCGTGGTTCTCCTCTCGTAACGCAAATGCGGGTTCGTTGCTTCAAAAAGTCTTCCACGAGGGCAAATTTCTCCCAATACTTGATCCTGAAATTCTCCTGTCTTCTTGATTGGGTGCAAAATTACAAGGCTACGAGTTAAACATAAGTAGTCGTGAACCCAAAAAATTGGGTCGGCTGTTCAACGACGATTATAAAAATAAAATATAAAATAAAATATGAATACATGATAAATGACAATTTTAAGTTTAAAAAAGTGTACTGAAAATTATAGTAAATAAGAGTTGTGGAGTTTCTTTTTAAAAGAAAAAAATCAAGTCGTTTAAATTACAACTTAAACCACAGCTTTCAGTAATTTAATTTAAATTGTTGACATATATTTAATATAACTCTTTTTAAATTCATTATTTTTCATTGATCTATTACGAAACACTAGTAATTTTTAGAAAATATCTGTTGTTGTTGCTGCTGTAGTTAATTTTACGTCGCACTAGAGGCTACAATGGGCTATTGGCGACGGTCTGGGAAACATCCCTGAGGATGATCCAAAGACATGCCATCACAATTTTGATCCTCTGCAGAGGGGATGGCACCCCCGCTTTGGTAGCCCTACGACCTTCACGCAAAGTCGAGCACTTTACGGTAGAACAGTTTAACGAGGACCAATACCGCTCACCCTCGGTCCCTACGCAGACTAATCCAAGTGCTCACCCACCCGCACACTGACTGCAGCCAGTGATGCTTGACTTCGGTGATCTACTGGGAACCGTGTCTTAACGATCAGTCCACTGCGGGACTAGAAAATATCTAATTTTAACTACAATTATCGCTTTTCTAGTTGATTCTGATGCTAATTCATTTAATTGAATCTAAAAAATGAAAAACAACTAATTTGTTTCTACATTTTTAAATTTACGAGACAGACAGATAGCAATCAATCTCAGTAAAATTCCTATACAAAATTAAATAAAATCTGCTATGTGAAAATATAATATGCAACGATAATCAATTCTTTAAAAGAAATGAGTTTAATTTGTTCGTTTGCAATCAAGAAACAATTTAAGAATTTACAGACGACTATTTCTTCAAAAGTTTTGATGTAAACTATCAGCACTAGTGTTTTAAAAACACCTAAGGTTACGATCTAGTTCATCCTTGTTCCAGAATAACAGAACCAATTAAACTTTTTTGTGACAATACGAATGTTCAACTGGGTGACGGGTTTAAACTTTGAGTGAAGTCCTCAACACCTCATTAATACAAACAGACGTAATGTTATTTACGGTCAAAACACTAGTTGTTATAGTTCCGACAATCAAACTTGAAAATTAATGTTAACTTTTAATTCTATCTAAACTAGGCGTAATACTGAAGTGACGTTGACGATTGATCAACTCAACTCCTTTTATAATTTGGAATTTTTGTGGTTTTAAAATCTTAATGTTTTAATCTAATGTCCTAAAAATAATAAAAGTCATAGTTCATGCGTTACACATATTTTCCTAGTACTTTATTAACATGATAAGTATACACTTTATTTTGAAAGTTTTATCGGATGTTAATTAGTTTAATGAAGTAGCCAATTACAGTGCGCCTTTTTCTTCTCCGAAAACGTTCGAGACTCGAAGTTTACAAATTATGCATTTTCGAGAAGTGAATTAACTAATTCGAGTGGTTAATCAATTCACTCAACTAATTTGCAAATGCTTTAAAAGAGTGCCTCCGATAAATAAGGTAAGCTGCTTTTGAACAGTTTTATGTAAAGTTTGGGAAATAAATATATAAGCAAACGATTTTTGTCTAATCGTTTCAAAGAAATAGATCAAACAAGAACCAAGTTCAGATTGAAGTATTTGGAATAAAATTTTATAAGCGATTATTTATTTACAATAAAAAGTTTATAATGATCTTTGACTTTATATTATAGATTTTTCATTGTAACTTTATTATTTAAATTTAACTACTAGTTTGTAAACAAGTTTCATTTTATTTTTATTAGCATTTAGTTTGTTTTATGCAGTATTTCTGTAATGAAAATATGCCTTTTTTTTATAAGAAACGTTTGGGTAAATGCAATTAATTTCAAAAAATTATGTGAACTGTTTTATGCTTCTGCTTTTTAAGTTGCATTTCATTACTAATTATTATGTTTATATTATAAAAATATAGTTCTGCTCCCAAATTTTAATTTATAGTAATACAGAATTATTAACTTTATAATTAGAAAGGGAAACACAGATTTGTAATATCCAGTTTCTGAGGAAGTTATGATTGAAATATATATGTCTATTTTGAAATATATATCTCTTTTTATTGTATTGTATAATTCAATATATACTTTAAAGCAATGGTAGAGCAAATTTACTTGGAGGTTAAAAAATTTAGTTTTATCACAACAAAATATTACTTTAATGATTTTTTTGAATAATAACGATAGTGATATTTTAGATTAATATTTTGACAGTCCAACAAAATTGAACTTCTGATCTATTTGAAACTTTTATAGTTCGAATCCAAAAGATGCTTACTGCAGTTTTCGTTTGAAGAAAAGCTGTTTAAAAATTCACCACGAGAATATTTTCTCACTTTTAATACACTTTTCTTCAACTAAAAATAGATTTTAATACTCATTCAACGTTCCATTGTAAAACCTTCGCAGTGTTTAGATATGCACTCTGCAATCAAATTTTTTATCAAACGAATACTGTGCTTATTATAGAATATACTAGTAAATAAAATACTATTAAATGGGAAAGAAAATCAGAATATCAGTTTAAACTATGTTTATAATTTTTAGAAAGATTCATTACATGCTTTAAATTTTCAATTTCTCAATTATCCATGCTTTAAAAATTGTGTCTAGGTATAATAAAGTGACTAAGAACTATAGTAAAAAGATTAGGCCACAATCGGGCATTTCTCTCTCCATAAATCAGAGCGAAAACGCTAAGTATTAACTTGGTCCGGTCATAGTCTGTGAAAAAAATGTATTCAAAAACTTTAGTTTCTTCGAATTTCTTCTTTGGAACCGGGGAGCACTTTTAGTTTATTCTATAAAAGAAGGTGCAGAGGTGAATCGGTTTACAAAGTGAAAAAATTCCTTTGCCATCGGGCTAACCGTGAGAGGTTTCGTGTTTTTCCTCTCTTCATATAACGCAAATGCGATTTAGACTTTCAAAAAGTTCTCCACGAAGGCTTGTCCCAAAGCTCCTTTGTCTTCTGGTTTCGGTTTATAATTACACATCTACGGAATTTAACATTAAATACCGTAAATTCAAAAAGTGTTTGATTGTTCAATGATGGTTATAAAAATAAAAATTTAAAAAAAATTTTGCAAGCAGATTCGTGGTGGCTCAGGGGATAGAGTGCTAGTCTCCCAATGAGGTTAGCAAAGTTGGAATCTAATTGATAACGGGTCGATACAATTTCTGCACGAATTCGCACCGACCATAGTGTTGACATAAAATATCCTTATTGATAGACGGGCCATGGGTTAGAATTCCTTGCCGTCGGACTAACCGTAGGAGGGTTTCGATGCTTTTCTCTCTGCAACGCAAATGCGATTTATTTCCATCAAAAAGTCCTCCTCGAAGACAAGTTTTTCTCTCTGCTTGATACAGAAATTGCCTTGTCTTCGAATTGCCTAGGTTCAAGATTACATGGCCACGAGGTTAAACATTAATGACCGACCCGAGAAATGGGCCGGCTGTTCTATGTCGTTTATAAAATTAAAAAAATTACAAATGTAAAATAAAATTAGTGCAAGCAAACAGAGCTAGCTTTAGGTATCACCTCCAAATAAGGAGACTCAGGTTTGAATATCAGTAATTACTGGCCGATTCAAATTCTGCTCCCGACTGGCATCGACTACAGGGCTAATCATGAGTATGAAGCCGTCGGGAGAACAAGGGAACTTTTTGTTTTTCGCTATGAATGCTGGTTAGTTCTATCCTCTACCATTGAGACGCAATGGCTCAGGGGATAAAGCGTTCGCCTCCCAATAAGATGAAGCTGGGTTCGAATCCCGGCGATGGCTGGTCGATACGAATCCGCATCCGGTTTGCACCAACCACAGTGCTGACGTGAAGTATCCTCAGTGCTAGACGGATCATGGTTAGAGTCCCTTTGCCGTCAGGTTAACAGTGGGAGGTTCTCGTGGTGTTCCTCTCCATATAACGCAATTGCGGGTTAGTTCCATCAAAAAAGTCATCCACAAAGTCAAATTTCTCCCAATACTTGATCCAGGAGTTCCCTTGTCTTCTGGTTTGGTTTTAAAATTACAAGGCTACGGATTTGAACAATAGAAGTTGTAAACCCATAAATTAGGTCGGTGTTCAACGACGGTTATAATAGATTAATGCAATATCTTCTATAAATGTTCTTTCCAGTATTTCTGTTTGAAATCACATGGCTGTGAAAATGGATCAGTTGTAAGGTAATATTAGTGCAAACAATAACATTTTGTATCCCAAAATACGATCTAGAAGTCCAGTGTCAGCAAAATGTTTTAAGTCCCTTTATGTTACGTTTACTTGTTTCTTGCGCATTTTACCGTCTAATGAAAGTCGTTTAATCAAAGGAAATTTCGTGTAAAAAAAATAAAAAGCTTTTGCATTACGTTACCTTATTTCCCACTCCTTTGCGATACTGGGCTAGCTCAGAAATAGCGTAGGAACATTAATTTTAACGTAGTATTTTTTTTTAAAGAAAACGAAACGAAAAAACAAAATTTTACAAAATAAACTCCTAGAAGCCGGGATAGCCTTGTTAGCAGGGCACTGGGCCCATGTTCAAGAGTTCGTGGGCTCGATTCCAGCCTGCCGAAGTTGTAAATGGTGACTGATGCACATTAAATCTGTTGAGTCGCAAAGTCCTCCTTGTTCCCGTAACAAATCAAAACCTCTGGGGGTACAGATCCAGGAGTTTCCTTGTCTTCTGGATCGGGTTCAAAATTACAAGGCTACGGAGTTGAACATTAGTAGTCGTAAACCCAAACTGGATCTGCTGTTTAACGACGTATATATATATATATATAAAAAAATAAACTCCAAAGTTATCTAAACGCCTTAGTTCAGCAAAATATTTTTCTTCGAAGAAGTATTAACTTCGGGTCCCTAAATCCGGAGCGTTGGAGGGTTGTACAGTCAGTGAAAGGAAAAAAAACAAAACTGATCACTCCTATAACTTTCGAACTATTAGACGGAATTCCATACTGTTTAATCATTATAACAATATCTAAAACAAAACTCTTTAATTAACTGTAACCGTAAGAGAATATGCGTAAGCTGACCAAAAAATTTTTTTTCTGAAAAAACATACATTTTTTTATTGCACTCGATTTAGCGTGCAAAAATAGCCTATGAAATTAAATTTAATAAAATTTCCTACTATTAGGGCCCAAAGACAAATGAACATTTAGAATTAAAAAAATTTTTGCCAATATTTGGCATCACTTGGGAATCATGATGCCTTTAAGTAATTCATTGCGTTAACTTATTACATCCTTCAGGGAAGTCAATGCGACTACAAATTCAACAAAAATAAATAAAAAGAACATTTAGAGGCTTTTTATTTTTAAAATTTAAATAAATAGTTCAAAAGTGTTAAGGTGATTGTAATGTTCCTCAAAATTATTAGAAAAAATAAGGCCATCAAATAATTATCTGCAAATTTAACTTTATGTTTAGTGAGATCTCGATGTATTGTTCTTTGGCATTCTTCCAACTAAATAGCCAAGTTAATCTTTCGTATAAACCATTGTTGGTGACAAGTGCTACATAGAAACTTTTTATATTCTATATAACTATACAACTACACTATCTGGTCAAAAATCTCCGGAAACCCGTTTGCTATGGTGGTGGTAGCATAAAGGTGTGGGGGTGTTTCTCGTGGCTTGGTCTGTGTCCGTTAGTTCCAACGATTGGAAACATGAACTCTGAGATGTATGTGGACAATGCTGCACTCTCAACTTTATGGTAATATTTCGGCCCATTTCTCTTTCTGCAGGATAACTGCTCTATTCACATATCAAGGTTTGCAGAGACGTGTTTTTTTTAATATGCGTCGTTGAACAGCCGACCCAATTTCGGGTTTACGACTGCTAATGTTAAACTCCACAGCCTTGTCATTTTGAACCCAATCCAGAAGACCAGGAAACTCCTGGATCAGTAGTACCCCCAGAGGTATTGATTTGTTATGGGAACATGGAGGACTTTGTGATTTGACAGATTTAACGTGCATCAGTCACCATTTACAACACGGGGAGTCTTCGGGGATTGAACCCACGAATTCTAGAGCAGGGTCCCATTGCCCTACCAACCAGTCTATCTCAGCCTTAGAGACGTGGTTTGAAAAAATGGGTGTTCAAGCAATTGATTGGCTATTCTGAGAGCCCCGATCTAAATCCTATCGAACACCTTTGGAATGAATTTAAGTGCAGATTACGTAGTCATCCAAATCCTCATTGCAAGCACTCACTTCATCAGTGATGGAAGTCAATTCCTATTCAAAAACTGGTCTAAAATCTTCCCAGACGTGTGCAGGCTGTCATCGATGCAAAAGGAGAAACAATCAATCATATTAACATGTGCCTCTGGACACTCCATACCCCAGGTGTCCAGATACTGTTTGATGGAGAGTGTATTACGTCAACACAACTTTCTTGTATTTTCATCTTTACTGAAAGCTAAAGTTACTGGAGAGGAATGGGGAAAAGAGCTTTCTTTAATTATCTT